TGCCAAATCTTACTGAATCGTTGCCAAAAGGTCAGGTTAATCTGGAACAATTGTATGAAAAGTCCCTCTACCCCCTCCCTAAATTTTACCTCCTACAGTATACTAGACGCCGAGCTGCTAGACTTCACACCTAGCCATAGGTATTCACACTTCGCACCTCGGAAATGGTCATCGTATGAAAAGTCACTTACCCATCCTAGTAGGAAAGCATCGTCTCGTTCTGCACATGAAACAGCGCTACCGAACACGCAGCTATGCTTTGCGATAACTCTAAGTTTGGTGCGCGTTAAAGTCTATCGTAGTAGCAGTAGCAGTAGCACAGAGATGATTTTGAGTTTAGTTTGAGAACGTTTGATCGTGATCATTAGCATTCGAATTATTTCAGGAAAGCTGTTTTTTAATTAGCGCACTCGCTTATCCCTTACCGAAATCCAGTCTCAGATGACAGGAGAAATATTTTGATGCAGGGAAGATGAGAGATAAAGATTGCCTCGTTTAAATCAGCTTAACCAAGTACCAACTTACACCTTTCTAGTCTGAGGTTCCAAACAAATAAAGTATTGGATATTTTGCAAACAGTTACTACATTTTCGTAATCAGCATGCTCAGTTACCCCATTGTGCCAACTCCCAGCCCCGTAGCTCAAACTTTGCAAAAAATTGATAAAATCGATAAAAGTAATGCACAATTTCAAAGACTAATACTGTATTCGTAATCAGCATTTTCGATTACCCCCCTGTGCAAACTCCCAGCTCCGTAGCTCAAATTTTGCAAAAAATCGATAAAATCGATATCGATCGATGACGAAAAGTAGCCTATGACACCCGCCGGGGCCCGTAATGTATGTGTGCCAAGTTTGGTCTGGATCGGTTCAGAAATGGAATTTTCTATTCGGAACATACGTGCAGACATACAGACAGACAAACAGACATTCAGCCTTATATATAAGATAAAGGCGGTTTCTAGCAAAGGAAAAAGCGGCCAGGAACTCCGAATGAATGCGAGAAGTGAAAAGGATGTTCAAACCTGCAAATTAAATAAATTTACAAACTTTAGTCATTATCCCATTTGCAACGCAGATCAATTATATAGAGTTTGGAACGGCGTAAAACTTAGCCGATCTGGAACAAGAGCATTTAGAAATGGATGACTACGAACAGATACCAGGTGACAGAACTGTGACCATAGAGGGAAGAGAAGAAGAGGATGATGATAACGATGAAGAAGATATGATGCAAAAGACGAAAATGTAGAAAATAGCGGGAACGACAGCGTTGTTTACGCACACAGTCACACCCACATACACAAATGCCTTCATTGCAATATGCGATAAAACGACAACCAATGAACTTTTCGGAACACTTCATCTTGACTACATGTCAAGTCCGCACATCATCCAGAAATGGAGTAATAGAAAGTATTGGCATCGTTTATTTTGCTGTAACATGAAACTCAAAATAATTATTAGAAATTCGCGAATTAATGACACTTATAGGGCCTTACTGGAACATAGTTCTAAGTTGTTTCATGCTGTTAATATCTCTACGCACCACCCTTATTCCAAATTTTTTTGAAAATCTTTGCAGCATCAAGCAAATGGAAAGAATGAATTAGTCGCAAGCAAACTTTGGACTAGCTCAGTCTGCCTAAAAGACTTTTAAACTATAAATTTACGAGTATACATTAAACTACAAGTTTCACATTTATAGCTCACGCCCGATATTATCAAATTTATGAAAAAGTCAGCAAAAATATCTCTCTCATTATGAAACCTATTCGACATTAACTTTGAAGGATTCCAATTATTAAAGTTTCTATCACATCCTTATTTGCATCCGTTTACCTCCTCATTCTCTGGATTATTACCATTTTTTTAAGTTGGAGCTTTTTTCCAAGTTTCGCAATGTTCGAGGTCTTTCAGAAACTCGGGCTCAATTTATACCTTTGTGCTACCCATTTCCCATGCTCGATCCACTGTCTTTGTAACATGAGACTTCGCGCAGATCGGTTGTCGTTCGATGCAGTTATTTCTCCTTTTTCTAATGGGTGTTTTTTGTTTCCGACTCGCGAAATCTATGGAATAGAGCCATTACAACTTCTGGTTTCGAACGCGCCATGAACCCTATACTCAAAAATTCGTAATTCATTATTTCGGATCCATAAACTCGAATTTGTTCCACAAAATCGTTAAATCATAATTATCTTAGTATTATAGTATCAATTTCCGGAGCATCTCTGGTGTTTAATGCGTTTGTGTTTGACGTGGGTTTGCTAAGAGCCGGTGCTTTGAGTAAGAAAAAATTCTAATCAAGAATATGGCAAGCTAAGGGAAGGAGACTAAAGTTGTGCTGTAACTGAAGGAAGGCCGGTGTCTAGTGGTATGGTGAGGTTTTAACCTCCATAACTGGGCACACGAAGAGATTGAAGAGAAGAAATCTTATCCGTATGGCAAAACGACCAACGGCTCCAAGGCCAACTACAAGAAATGAAGTGGCTTTTCTTTTCTACTTGACTGTGCTTAATTGGTGGTTGCTTGATTGCGATTGAGTGTTGGTGCTCGCCGTTTGGTAGATACCAGCCACGCGGATTGCCAAAGCCAACCTCAAACTTGGGTAATTACACTTTATTAGTAACTATAAAGATCATACAAACAGCGAGTAAATAGGGTAATGTGAGTATTGCAATCATATGAGAATAGAAGCGCAATACTTGTAAATGAGTTTGTAAATGAGTATTATTGAGTGAGATTCGGAGAAAGTGAGATTATACGTGTAAGGCACCAAATAAATGAGCGATTATGTGAGGAATAAATGTGAGGTTAACAAATGAGTTTACAAGACGAGGTTAAATGAATTGTAAAAACTGTAAGGAGCTCAAATGAATCAGAAGCGGGCTCAGCGCTATTTATACGCCTCGCAGATAAAGGAAAGAAGTTTTTGTGAAGGAATGAGGCTAAGCGCGAGTTGCTCCTTTATTAATCGGAGCTTGAGAAATAAAGTGCATCTATTCAAACTAGAAGCAAACATGCACTTTAAGAAGCTGAAAGAAAGAAGTGCAAGATTTCTAGCTACCAAACGTGCATTTCTTGGTTTAGGATGAGTAGTCGTTTGATCATAGTACAGTTATGGTGTCTAACAAGATTTCAATATGATATATTAGTCGTTAATGGCGACAATCCGGCCCGGCGCTAGTCCGAGAAGTCCGTGTCATCCGAGTCGATGGTCATGGGGATAGGTGGATCTTCTTTCTTTTCCTTTTCCTTCTTGTTGTCCTCTAGTTCCGGCTGCACGTTATCAGTGTCAGAATCCATGTAGTCAGTGGTATAATCTAGAGTTCTACCACCATCTTCATCTTCATGTTCATCTTCTTCGTCATCCTTCCACCATGGGTTGCGGGTTTGTGTCGGTTCATCATTCCCGCGAGGGTAGCGAGGCTCTTCTACTGGTTCATCATTGCGAGGCTCTTCTCCACGTTCACCTTTTGCGTATCTTCAGAAACGTGTGGCGTGTTCTTCTTCTGTTTCGTTGCGATCTACAGGACCCGGTATTTGTGGCAACTCCTCTTCCGCAATGAGCATCATGTCTTCGAGTTCGTTGCGTTTGTTCACAATAATTGCGAGCGTTCGGTCCAGGAGCTTGACGTCTTCGACAGCATTGAACATGTGGCTCTCGTGTCTTATCTTGTCGACAGGCAAATGACGGCCCTGCCATGTTTGCCATCTTTTCAAGTCTATCTTTCCCGCACGAGCTTTCGTTTCGTATAGCTGCCGCATGTAATGGTAGTTTGTGGCCACCTGGATCGTTTCCGTTTCCGCCTGCCGCTTCTTGGCTTCTTCTGCGAGTTTTGCATATTCGTGGAACCTTCTCATAATTGGCAGGGATTCATGCTCTTGCAAGTGTTCGAAGCGATCAAACTGCTGGATAACTTCTGCCGTTCTGTAGGTCTGGAACCGAGGCTCTTCAGGCTAAACGGCGAGCACCAACACTCAATCGTAATCAGCAATTACCAATCAAGCACAGTCAAATACAAAAGAAAAGCCACTTCATTTCTTATACGGTACTTCGGCTCGAGCACGACACATTGAGGTCGGTTTGCATGTTTTGATCTTCAAACTCCGATTGTTGCTGAATCGAACGGCTCTCTTCACAAGCGCTTTTCAGCTCATTGCATACTCTTCTCAGACAATCGATCGGACCCCTTCCGCCGGACAGTCGAAATCTGCCAGAGTCGCGCCGGACCCAGTTGACCAATGAGAGCGGGGCGATTGGGCGGTCCCTTCTTGTAGGTCGCGGTGACATCACCGGCAGGCGAGTGGGACCCTTCGTTGGATCTGCTGCAAAGGTACGCCATTTCTGCTCCGGAGGTACGCCAGATTGCAGAGCCGCGCCGGAGAAATTTGCCCGCCGCGAGTCCGCCAGATTTGGACGAGCCGCGCAGCAGAAAATCGGAGGGTATGGAGCGCAAATGGGAGGGCCCCGGAGCACAAATGGGAGGGCTCCGAAGCAGGCTGCGTATCGATTTGGCGCGTAGCCAAGCAAAGTCTAACTCCACGGTGATGAGTCCTCTGTTTGCGCTTTCTTCATATTTTAGTCGTTGTTTCTTTGATTTTGTTGTTTCTCCGCGTTTCTTTGCCGTTTCTTTCTTTTACGCGTTGCTCTTTGTCGCGTTTGCTTTTATGTTGTTGTAAGTTCCTCGTTTTCAGGTTTATGTTTCAAATTTTCCTGCGGATGCACTCAGTCACTTCTAGTGCTTGGCTCTTTTCGACTTGCTGAGACATCGTTGACTACTGATGGAGTGGTTTTTGTGATCAATTCTGGTTTTTTGAAACAAAAAGAGTATATTCGAGTGAGTCTACTTTTTTTGTTTCGCACTTGTTCATGCTTGAGCTCCACGGCGGATTGCCTGTTCAAGTGTGTATGTGCGCTCAGAGTCGGCGTCATTCATTACCTAATCTGCTACGTATCTTCCAAGATTCATGGTAAACGTGTAGACTTTTTGAGATGACAAAAACAACAGCTCGATGCTACAATATCTTCGATAGAAAACTCAGCAAAGAGTGAGCCGTTCTTGTATTGTTCAAGCGGTGTATCAGAACTACTACATGCGATTTTATTGACAGTGGCTGTAACATCATGGTACTATCCCTCAACTTGTGTGCATACTTTCAATAACTTTACCGTTAATGTGCTTTTTTGGCAGAATCAGTATTATTCTCTTCCTAGTTTTTTTGGTCATCAAAGTCATCAGAGGATGATTTAGTCAGTTTTACCAATTTCTGAAGGGATTTGTTTTGATGCTATCTGGCCGTTTGTTGCAGGGCTGCAAAAATATAGCAGCTACTTTGAGTAAAGAAAAATTGGTTTGATACATTCGCTTTATGACAAAACAAACAAGCATGGACATAAAAACTAGCGATTCAGAGGCACTGTAGAGGTGGTCGAGCGTCAGCTGTTCGTGGAGGGGTTCGCAGAAGATTCTGATACTGCTGTGCGATTGATAGCTCCAAAAGGTAAGGTTGGCTTTTATCATTTAGTTGCTTTTCTTCAGTGCGCAGATAGCGTGTAAGTTCAGTGTGCAAAATCTGAGTACCTGGGCTTTAAATTTGAGGCGGAGTCCGTTGCGTGCGGTAATTCACCTGATCTTTTTATTCACTTTCTCCCCTCAACTCGCTATTTTTTGAGCGGAGCGCTGACAATAGTTTGGAGTTGAATTTTTTTGTCCAAAATAAATCAGGGAGTTGTTCCGGGCTCTGGTATCCAAGGCTTCTCACAGTTATCCCCACAGTGACCTCAGTCCTCTTTTTTAACCGCTACTAGCAGTTCTCTGTAGTGGGAAGTTTGCGTTGATTGATTGGCACTTGGTTTTTGACCGTACTTTACCCGTTACCGGTACAAGTGTTCTCATGTTACTCGTATTACTCGTGTTACTGTTATCCGTGTTACTAGTGTTACTGATATTACTCGTGCTGCTCACAGTCAGTGATATTGCATTTTGAAATGAGACTGTATTGTAATCATTTCACTATTCAACAGCATAAAAGCGGTAACACTAGTAACACAGTAACTGATAACACGGATAAAGTATGGCCAAAGCCTTACCTAGCTTCATGGTACTCTGATGCTTCATCTGTTTTCCTGCTCTCTGTAAGATGTACCAGCCTTGATCACCCGCACGTTCGCATCAAAACGCTTCCTTTTGTCAAACCATCCTTGAATTTGTAGGCGAACTCTTCGACGATTCCGATACAAGGATTTGGCAAATAGACCATCTCGACATTCGATCTCAATATGTGAGCGTTTAGAACATTTGAGTGATCAAAATAATCTGTTAAAAGGTAGGCTGCGAAGTTGGTTGTGCGTGTCATTTTTGACCGGTCTGGAACAAGGCGTCTTCTTGTGCCTATTCTTTTTCCCGTGGGGGTTATCTAGTCGAGAAGACGTTCATTGAGATTCCCGAAGTTTTTGGATGATTTTTTGTCTTTATAAAACGTCACTATATACAATTTTGAAGTTCTTGTAGTCGGTTAAATTTGCAGAGGCCCTGTAGTTGTCTGTTCTTGCAGGTGAGCGCAGAAATACTTGACGATGTTCACGTCATCATCACATTTTTTGCAGGGTTTTTGATTGCCATCACCAAACCTGAGTTCGCCCACAACTAACAAGTGAAAATCTCAAGCTTAACTCTTTGTAACACTCTTTCGGGCAGGACTTACTCTGTTAACTAATTCTTGCGCATTCAATCAAAACCGTTGGCACTAATGGAAGGATTTGTTGCTTCTCACCTCCAATGTTTCTCCATTTTAGGTTGCTGGTATGCTAGTGGCCCCCTTTCTAGTGTCAGCCTTTTCTACTGATTCATCGGATGTGGGCAAGACAGCGCTAGAAATTGGATTAGATGGCGGAAGTTTTGATATGTTTTTATATAAGCTCAAACCAAAGGCGAATCGACCAGAGCTCACATCCTTGCTGTTTCTGCCTCTCATTGTGTATTTGGAAACCTATTTTTCCTTATGAGATCGCGTCATAATCGTGTCATCATTCTTCATACTTTAGGTCAACATAACTGCTATTGAGTTAGATTCAGTTGTTGTTGAAACAGCAAAGAAATGGTTTGGCGTTATTGAAGAAGAAAATCACCGTGTGATTGTACAAGATGGTCTCGAGTACTTGAAAGAAGCTAGCAAACGTGGTACGAGCGGTAGACTTTCATGTTTCTGTGAAATAAAAGTTTTTGCGAATTTAGGGAAGAAATCTGATGTCATAGCCTTGGATGCATGTGGTGGAGCCATTAGATCGCCGTGCCCTGCTAAAGTATTTCGGGATGTGGAAGTGATCGAGAGGCTCAGAAAAGCTCTTACCCCTACAGGCCAATCATCAAGCTTTGCACATTCTCTCAATCGCAAAATAATACCATAAAATGTTGCAATTCGCTGGATATTCTTTGTAGTTAATTTGAAATAAATGCCTTGTTTCTTCATTCTTCTATCTTCTATCCACAAACGCTAGGGGTGAAAGGGAGGGGATAGAGTACAAGGGTGAGGGTCGCGCTGAACTCCTACCCGGGGGGGGGGGGGCTATTCGGCTAATTTGGGTGGGGTTAGAGACAAAATTGGGGTTTGGAGCTTAATTAGGGTTAATTACAGCATGCCGCGGCAGACTTGCGGAGCACAAAATCGGGGGGCTCCGGCGCACAAAATCGGGGGGCTCCGGTGCACAAAATGGGAGGCCTCCGTAGCACAAAATGGGAGGGCTCCGGAGCAGAAATGAGAGGTCTCCGGAGCAGAAATGGGAGGGCTCCGGAGCATGAGTGGCAGACACCCCGCTGGGGAAACCCCGCGGCCCTGCCATTTCTCCGCCGGAGGGGTCCGATCCGCTGTCTGAGTTGTTTTCGCCCACTCCTACAGTCCATCGACATGTCAGTCAAACTTACGGTTCCAAAGCGCATGCTGACGCACTATGTCCACAAACTGGACACTATTATTTCGCGGTTCAAAAACGAGGCACTTGAAGATCTATATCGCGGAGGCAAACGCCGAAAAATTCCAAGCAATCAGAGATTATGTTCAACAATTTGAACAAGCCATTGGAGCTATCGAAGCTGCCATTGCAAAAATCGAGCGCGTTACGCAAGATTATGATTCCTCATTTTCCACCTTGAGCCAACCAGAACCGAAAGAGCAACAAGATTTTGAAGAATATTTTACAAGAGCGAAGACTTGCCCCAGTGAAGCATTCGACTATCTTCTCATTTTACAAGCGAGAGTCCGCGCATTCAAGGCGTGGGGCTGTATGACAACTGTCACCGCGCAAATGACGAGAGAACAACAGAACGCACCGACCAACGCCGTTCAATCAAAAAGAGTTGAACTTCCCACATTACGGATACCGTCATTTCGCGAAGATATATGGGAATGGGACAATTTCTGGGAATCGTTCAATGCCAATATACATTCCCAAAATTTACCGCAATTGTATAAATTCAACTATCTTCTCAACGCACTGAAAGGAGAAGCACGCGAATCAGTCAGGAAGTTCCAAATAACGGCAGAAAACTACCAAAAAGCCATCGACTTTCTTTTGCGCAAATATGGCAATGCAAATGAATTTATTCAACGTCTTATCGAAAAACTCGAGGAATGTACTTCAACATCATCATCACTAAGAGATCAAAGAACTCTTCTCGAGCAACTGCAAGCCATCGTCGCACAATTGGAACACAATGGAGAGAGTATCGATAGTCGGTGATTACAATAACAAGTGTTGTCCAAGTTTCCTGCTTACATACAACGCAGTGTGTTGATGAAGAAGCAAGCATCAAAGGAGCAAGAATCGCTCCAAGTGCATGATTTTTTGAACCCCATAGAAGAAGTTATATAATGCGAAGAAATTGTCTCACTTTATACGAGCAAGGAAACTCAACAATCTCAAGTTAGCGTGCCTCGTAAAGAGAAAGCACGAAAGGAACTCCAACAGACATATGTTCGATCATGTATGTTTTGCGGGGGAAACCACAAGTGTATCGCTTGTACAATATACTCTACTCCGAAAACGCGTTCGCAATATTTGAACTGTGTCTCATCTGCGCCTTTCCTCAACACGCAACCTCTCAGTGCCAGAAACGGAAGTGCTTCAACTGCCAAGGTTTGCATCACACTTCCTGTTGTTTCAAAAGTGCGCAAGATGGCGCATCGACATCAATGCGAACCGCCGCTCTCGCATCGAGCCAGGAGAAAAGCAAAGGAAGCGCTCCTCGGCAGACTTCACAGACGAAGTCAACGAAGAAAGTCAATCACCTGGCACGCGAAAATGATGAGGTTGCTACCGACACGGTTGTCTGCGAAATCCATTCAAACCATAAACATCGGACATTTCTTTTGACTGGAGAAGTGAAGGCGTTGAACGAAAAGGACAACACGTTGAGAAAAATCTGCTTAGTTTTCGACACTGAAGCTGAAGCATCCTTCATTCACAGAGAATTGACAGAGGAGTTGCACCTTATGAAAGTTGGTGAAGAAAAGCTGCGTCTCCATACCTTTGGAACTCACTCCATCCAAGAAAAAGCTGCGGATATTGTTAGACTAAATGCCTGAGATGTGAAAGGAGCGCCAGTTACTATGGATCTTCTCACCTACGATATCGTGGCAAAATCTTTTGAGGCGCCTTTGCTTTCCGAGTAAGATGCAGATTTCATGCGGCAGAATAATATTTCGTTCGACATGACAAGTCCGAAGACATGCAGTCCAAAGATATTGTTAGGATGCGACAGCATGTGGTCATTCGTTGTCAAAACGAAGACAAATCCCACGTTCGTATACCGTCCGGTCTCCACCTCATTGAATCAAGCTTCGGATATCTGGTATCAGGCCAGTCCGCTATTCCAGAGGACACTATCGAATCTGAAGACGAAGACAAGTGGGATGGGTATTGGACTTTAGGCACAGAAGTCAACACTGTATCGATGGCTACCGAGGATACCAGTGAGGCCGAGAAAGAACGAGAGCAATAGGCTTGGGAAGAGTACTGGTCCTTGGGCGCAGCAGACCGAGAAATTCAATCAGTCGCAGAATGATGATCAAGCTCGAATAGACAACATCGTCCATGAAGACTTCATCAAGACGGTAGAAAGGCGCGAGGACCGATGCTACGTTAGATTACCGTGGAAAAAACATATATCGACACTGCCAGATAACAAGTACATAGCGTACCGTCGACTGGCGAATCTGTGGAAGTCACTCCAGAAGGATCCGGATGCGTTGCAACGATACGATGAAGTGTTTCAAGACCAATTGACATTCTGGAGCATGTTCCCAGAGGACCGACGGAGCAGAGGCGTATACATTACTTACCCCATCAGGCGGTCATCACTCCGCACAAGAAAACGACAAAGTTGAGGGAAGTGTACGATGCTTCGGCTCATTACAAAGATTCTTACTCTCTCAACGACGTTCTGCATCGAGGTCCAGTGATGTTACCACAATTATTCGTAGTGCTGTTACGCTTCCGGATTGAAGTATAGCGATCATTTCTGACGTGGAAAAGGCATTTTTACAAGTCAGACTTCATGAAGAAGATCGCGACGCGGCCAGATGTTTGTGGCTACAAGACTGTACTCTACCACTCACCCAGAGTAATCTCCTAGTCCTGAGGTTTACGAGGATTCCACTGGGGTTAAATGCTTAATCCCTTAATCCCTTCCTACTCGCAGCTACAACGCCTTATCACCTGGACCAATACAAAGATAATCTCAAGCTAGTACAGGAGGTGAAGGAGAACCTGTATGTGGACAACTTGATGGTCACGGCAGACACGGTTGAAGAAGCACTCAGCTGTTACCAGAAAATCAAGAACATGTTCAAGGAGCTGGGTATGAATATCAGCGAGTTCGACTGCAACAATCAACGGCTTGCAAGCGAGATTTCTGAGATCGACAGATCGTCGGATGTTTCTACAAAAATACTTGGAATCCCATGGAACTTCTTCATAGATCGGCTGATTTTGTCATGCAAGATGAACGAACCAAGAATCCTCACCAAGAGAGCAGTCACAAGCGCAATAGCTTCTGTTTATGATACAATGCGATGAATGCTACCGCTGCTCCACAAACCCAAAATGTTCCTTCAGTTACTTTGGAAGGACAAGGTGGACTGGGACACTCCATTATCAAGTGATCGTATGGAGGGATGGCATCATATATGCCGGAAGATCAACAATTTTACCAGAGAGTTACCCAGATTTGTCGCAAAGGCATTCATCCGTGACTCTCATCGCGTTCGCTGATGCCAGTAAAGAAGCCATTGCTGCTTGCGTATATCTGAAGTACGGCAACACTATTGATCTCTTGATGGCGAAAGCGAAGCTCCCACCTCTCAAGTATGAATCCACAGTACCCAAATTAGAGTTAAATGCTGCCACGCTGACGATGAGACTGCTGAATTCTGTGGTGACGCAGTTACGCTCAACCGTCGTAATCCGTGTATACGTCTTCACCGACTGGGAGATCGTTTATTATTGGATTAAAGGAAAGCCGCACAAAGAGAATGGAGTTATGATATACAACAGACTACAGAAATCGACGATATAAGCGATCATCTGATAAGCCAAGACATATAGGTGTATTTTGGGCATGTACCTACGGATCAAAACCCAGCGGACTGCGGAACAAGAGGACTGGATAAGAGCCAGCTGGAAACCCACTTTTGGTGAAAAGGACCTCCGTTCTTGCTAGATTCTCCGAAAGACTGGGATGAGGATCGCAGACTTTTCCAGAAGTTTAAGAGACAAAAGTTCTTTACCGCTCAATCTCCCGATCCGTTAATGGCTCAACTCTAGCAAAACTTCCAAAGGAGCAACCATCAGACATATTTGAACGGCACAAAGGCTATCCTTACGCTACAGTCAAAAGGATCGTGGCAAGAGTTCTACACGTTTCGCTAAGATTCTGTTGGAAAGAATTGCGAGACGTAGTCTCAACTTTCACACACCCACCTTCCTCGACGATTTCGTTGTCGCTCAACATAAGGAGCTTAGCGTTGCAGAAGTTTCGAACGCTGGAAAGATTATCATTTTATTAGGTTCTCGCATAAGTTCTGTCCGATTTGAATTTTTTGAGTTCAAAATGTCATAACTTCTTTCAAAGTCAACGTTTTTCCAAGATCCCAGTTTCCTTGTGTTGAGCAACTTCTTAGCTATCAGACACGTATTGAAATCTGCGAAAATCCACGTTAAGCAAGAAGCAAGAACTCAAAATCTTCACAGCGTTTTTCTTCAAACTTGTCTTTTTTGACATGGCAATGCTCCTTTATGAGAAGTGATAGCATATTGTCTAACAATGGATAGATAGAGAATTTTTCGTAGATTGTTTTGCGCCATAAAAGAGCCCATAGGGTCTGCATTGCCGAGATATTTTTTGACCGAAC